CCCAAAGAGAAGACCAATTTCCTAATTGAGGGATAGGGATGCTCACACAAATCGGGAGAAGTGATTGTGCCATCATTCCAAAAAATAAAAATAAAAATTCTTAAGCTATTTAATTTTATGAGACTGCCATTTTACTCATACAAGAAGAAAAATTGTAATTGCTGGAGAAGGACTTACTGCGCTGAGAGAGAGGGAGAGAGTCTGGAGGATATCTAGCATGGTCTTCAGCACCGTTCCGCTCCAAAGTAAGTGAGGAAACCTTCAAAAGAACAAACCAAAAGTTACGAGTCTGTACAACAATATCTGGACCTGGGAGACAACAGTACCCAGCCATTCGTTAGCAGTGGATTGACTAATTTAAATCTTAGTCCAACATTAAAGGAATCAAGGAATTTCTTGATGGTGAACTAAAGGACTGGCTGCTTAATTAGTTGAATCTGTCTGTCTGTCTGTCTATCTATCTATCTATCTATCTATCTCTATATCTATCTCTAATCTATATCTTTCTCTAATCTATCTATCTATCTATCTATCTATCTATCTATCTCTCTCTCTCTCTCTAATCTATATCTATCTATCTATCTATCTCTAATCTATATCTATCTATCTCTAATCTATATCTATCTCTAATCTATATCTATCTATCTGTCTCTAATCTCTATCTCTCTATCTCTCTATATCTATCTATCTCTAATCTATATCTATCTCTAATCTATATCTATCTATCTATCTATCTGTCTGTCTGTCTGTCTGTCTGTCTGTCTGTCTGTCTGTCTGTCTGTCTGTCCGTCCGTCCATCTCTATGTAATTTCTCTACATGCTGATTGGGGAATTTTGGGAGTTGAAGTCCACACATCTTAAGTTGCTAAGGTTGAGAAAGACTAATAGAGAATTACAGAATCACAGAGCTGGAAGGGACCTTGGAGATCTTCTAGTCCAACCCCTTGCTCAAGCAGGAGATCCTATACCATTTCAGACAAAGGGTTGTCCAATCTCTTTTGAAAAATCTCCAGTGTTGGAGCACCCACTGAAGGCAAGCCATTCCAGAAGTCAAAGGCATGAAACCCGCTCTGCACTCAAGTCACTGCAATGTACTTACTTGTCTACAAGACCCGATAAGTATTTATCTGCAACTCGTCTTATTCGCTTATGAATGTGGTTAAAGTTGACCAGCAAGAACTGAGCGTGTCTTTCCAGCTCTTCTTCATTTTCTTTCGTTTTAGGCTAAAGATCAAACGAAGGACCATGAAAGTCCCTTATTAGGGTTTGAGTATTTTCTTTTTATCAATACAATGAAGCAGTATATAAGTCTAAGTGCCACTGCTATTGCTATCTGTCTATTTAAAAACCTGCCATGTAGCAGCTCCAATATCTCTAAGCAAGGGTAGAGGAGTTAATTTGGAATATCAGAGACCTGTGAAACCCAGAACTAAAGACATGCTAGCAAACACACGGGATGGTTGAGCAAAATGACAACCACAGTGTACATTCTCGTTTGACAAACTTACTTTGTCTGCCATCATGCTAAGGAAAGCTTCAAACACCTTATCTGCGACGGCTATCACACACTGCATCATACCTGAAAGAGAGGAAGCAGCAGCGTGTTTAAGAAAAATTAAAAAAAAAATCAAATGAAATGACTCAGGCAGCTGAAAATGGTGCCCAGCAGATGGCATCTCTCATAAGTTGTTAAAATCCAAGTTTTTGCTTGCTTATTTAGATCCAGATAATTATGCAAAAATCACATCATGAGATTGCTTTGAACAATGTGTTTGTTCTGCAAGAGTTTTACACAGGTGCCCATCGGATTTAAGGATCGTAGAATCTGAATAGCCTTACCTGATTTGTCTTTCTGAATAGCTTTATCCTCAAAGTAATAAAACATCACTTGGAAACGATCTGGGTCTGTTGAACGTAGGACCCTAGCAGACCAACAATCAGGAATTAATTTCACCAAGATACAATTGAAAAAGATTTTTTTATACATCTGTCTGTCTATCTATCTATCATCTATCTTTCTATCATCTGTCTGTCTGTCTGTATCTTACATCTACCTATCTTCTCTCTCTCTCTCTCTCTCTCTCTCTCTCTCTCTCTCTCTCTCTCTCTCTCTGTATTTCTAACATCTATCTATCTATAGAGTACCTCTGCAACTCTGAAGGATTATTTAAAGAAATACCTCATGCATTCCAGACGATATACGGAAAGCAGGTAGGTAGACATGGCGAAATCCAATTTATTGATTAGGGCTGACACTTCAGGAGGCGGATCCAGAAGATTTATGATGGTGCTCCTCAATTCATTCAGTTCAGCCTAGTGGAAATTTAAAAAAAAACAAAAAAACACAAAAAAATAAGCAAGCAACTTGTTTGGGTAGCTGTTTCCGGCAGGTGTTCATCTATTAGCCCCCTTAAAGCTGTCCCTGTTCTTGACAAGCACAAGACTCTCTCAACGTACCCACAAGAGCTACCCTGAGGTAAGATAAATTTTTACAAATGAATAAATAAAAATGAATAAGTAAACTCCACGGAGCACAATAAGGCTTTGCTGAGAAGCGGGTTTGAACAACCGCCGCAGGAAGGCATCGCTTCTCTCTTTCAAACCACGAGAATTCACCGAGAGGAACATCAAAAGCATTTGGCGACACGAGGACGCTGCTCAAATATTTGGAAAGTGGATCCCAGGGAGAAGACAAACACGGCGTTGGAAGGCTCAGAAGTGGCCAGGGGCAAGAATGCTGATGCTGGATAATCACACTTGACACATGTCAGGATAAAGGCTGTTAACCAAAATGAAGAATCTCCCTGGAATGCTTAACTTATAAGCACCAGCCCTGGAGCTCTAATTATAATTATTTTCTTTCTTTCTTTCTTTTTCTTTCTTTCTTTCTTTCTTTTTCTTTCTTTCTTTTTCTTTCTTTCCTTCCTTCTCTCTCTTTCTTCCTTTTTTCTTTCTTTCTTTCTTTCCTTTGTTTCTTTCTTTCTTCCGTTTTTCTTTTTCTTCTTTCTTTCTGTCTTCCTTTCTTGTTTTGTTTTGTTCTTTTTCTCCTTCCTTCCTTCCTTCCTTCCTTTCCTTTCCTCCTTCCTATCCAATCCATCCATCCATCCAATTTGCCAATTGGGCCCGCCATACTTGCTGATGTCATCAATTCATCTTATTTTAGGTCTCTATCGTGGACACTTTTTATCTATCTATCTATCTATCTATCTATCTATCTATCTATCTATCCATCCATCCATCCATCCATCCATCAGAATTGCCCACAATATTTATGTTTTTAATCAGTGTTTGCTCATCTGTGCTGCACATCCTCAGCTGAGCAAGGAAGGGGCGATGATGGAGGAAAAGGGACTTACGGAAGTGACGGTGTCGTTTTTCATGGCAGAGTTATACTGAAGGACGGAGCGAAGGGGCTCTTTGGTGGGAAAAGTCAAGAGAGGGGACTTGGTGGCAATCTCACAAACACCCTCGTACCACTCTTCGGGCCAAAGACCTGGAGTGACATTTGGAGAAAAGAATTGAAAAGCCAAAGAATGGTAAATATTATTTCTGGACTAGTTCAGTAGGCCTCCAGGTCATCTGGAGCATTTTTTTTTTATTATTTTATCAACACTGGAGCCTAGTAAAACCTGTGTCAGGCTATGAACAAGCCCCCATCAAACTGCAATGTTCTGGCCTAGGCTTCTTTCGAAACCACAGTTTAAACAAAGCACTGATTTCCAATGTTTGTTTGTTTTTTAAAAACCCAGCCCTCAAATGACTTGGAGCAGATTATTTCCAACATCATTCTCAAGGCTGGAAAAACAGCACAAGTCTTAAGCTGTTTCAGATTCAAGAAGAAAAATGCTCTTTTTTTTGGTTCCTTCAGACTTAGGTCTTACTTTCCAACATTAATGATTGTATTACAATATTTACAATAATATACAATTACAATGAAGCCAAACATGTCGGCGGAGTTGCCCTGTAAAGTTCTTCAAAACTGATGAAGCTCTTTTAAACATGACACAGGGCAGTTAGCCCACCGAATTTCTTCTACGCCCATCAAAATTCTCCTTTCTTTGTGATAGTTCAGAGGAAAACGTACCTGACCCTTCCACGGCAAAGCCCATCAGCACTGAATACAGCCAGAAGTCGCGGAAAAGTTTCTGCAATCGTGGTTTGGCTTCCTTGATTGGTGGCAAGCGTCTGGTGAGCTGGCAACGAAACAAAACAACATGTTTTAAATGTTGGTTTACAGAAGGGGACAAACCAAACTTTGCTAGCTATCAATTAAAATGGAATAATAAATTGATTTGATTGATCAGCTGTTCCTACTCATCTTGGCTTCTACAGCTTAAGAGAGTAAAATCATCTTCAGATATGACAGCCTAACAATTACTGCAGTCTAGCTAGCTAATCACACATCTTTCATGACAAATGATATAAATTCTTTGTCTTAGGCTCAACTGTTTCAATAAAAGAATTGCCAAGCCCGTGGAGAACTATCACAACACCCCCCCCCATAGTACCCAAAAATGTATTTATTTATTAGAAATATTTACTGCAGAAGTTCTGGGTGCTCCATCACTGGAGGTTTTTAAGAAGAGATTGGACAACCATTTGTCTGAAATGATATAGGCTTTCCTGCCTGAGCAGGGGGTTGGACTAGTTGACCTCCAAGGTCCCTCTTCCAACTCTGTTATTCTGTTACTGCTGGAATCAGGATTGACTTCCAGCTGTTCACATTGAAGGGAATCAAAAATATTACAATAAAACACTGTTCTAATATACGAGTTTCTAAAAAACAAGGTACCAATCTTAACCACGGATTAATCTGTAAAGATATAGCGGCAGTCCTCGACTTAACAATAGTTTGTTTAGTGAACGTTCGAAGTTACAACAGCCAGATTCACTTCACAACCGGGTTGTTATCTTAGCAACTGCAATAATTCACTTAACAAGAAGGTGTGGGGCAAAACTCACTTAACCAGTGTCTCACTTAGCAACAAAAAATTGGGGCTCAATTCTGGTCATAAGCTGAGGACTACTTTTATTTTGAATATACGATATATAAGACAAAAATCTTCCTTTGCTTCTTATCTGCAAAAGAATGATGTCTTTAAAAAAATCTAAAAAAAAAAAAAAGAATATAACCAGAAACAAGAGCAGGCAATCAGCAGAAACAGCACCCATCAGGGATTTTAGCTGACAGGGTGAGTGATTGATTTACAGCGTGTTTACTTTAGCAAGCACCCAGCGGCACCAAAGTTCAGCCTGAAACATTTTCCCCCTGTCTTCCTTGCAAAGGCACTTGTGAGCCTTCCCTTCGTCAACAGGAAAGGTAAGGGATATTTCTTATTGGGGGGGGGGGGAGATGGATTAAGAAAATAAAACAAGCGCCAGTCTTTTTAGGGTGAAACTGAGGCAGAGAATTCAGTGGCTGCAGCTCAAGGCAATCCATGTGTTGCTAAATCTGATCGTATTGTGGCCGTGAATATTTGGGCGACGGTGGAATTCCACCTCTTGATTTTTACTTATTATTTTGTGGCTGCACTGCTGCTCAGCGTACCTTGGTGGGTTTTACACGATGGAAGCAAGGCTGCAACAGAAAATGGGGTGAAGGAAAGACATCTAAAACAGCAGAATAGGGGGCAAATTGGTTTCCACAGCAGAGAGGAAGAAGAGATTGTTATATTTCAACACCCTACCCACATTAATTCCCGCGGCACTTGTTTTTGTACAGAATTAACTCGCTTTCCTTGAGGGTTTTGCTCTGAATTTTATTTTTTTCCACTTTGGAAAGAAATAACCGAAAACTTTCTTAAGGAAAGAAAGCAACCTCTTTAACCTGTTAGTTCTCTAGACTCCAATCACCTTCGCTTCCCATCCTCACAGCGGACTGAAGCCTTATAATTTAACGCAACTTAAAAAAAAATGCAAGAGGGTCTATACAGATAAAGGGAGCGGCTCTCTTTTGCAGCCTAATTGGTTGAGATTTAAGCCCTTTAAAAAAAACTTATTCAGGAATTCAAAATATCGATTTGGGCAAGATCCGTGTTACTTTTTTGATTGAAAGTTCGGGTATCTTCTCGTGAGACAGCCCAAATTTTGAACTTTTGAAAGACACCCAAGAATTGCAGGGATAAATGTGCAATTCTCTCTCCAAATCACAGCCATGTAGCTGCTTAGCTTGGAAGAGGCAGGGTTATATTTTTATTTTATTTATTTGCTAGACTTATATACTACCTCTACCCACCAATCACAACACACAGAAAACAATCATCGCCACGATAAAAATAAACGCACATACCCAATTGCAAAGAGAAATCAACAGATTTATACCATTACTGCTGCTTTGTTTCTATTAGTCCTTAAACTGCAGCCTTATTGCTTTCTCACACCTAAGATGGTGGGCATGACCCTGATAGAAGAGAATATTTATGAACTTGGAGTTGAACTGTGAGGTCCTTGGTGGACTCTGAGTTTGGTTGTCTTCTTGCAGACCCAAAGGTGCCATTTTTTTTCAAAAGGCAACTGGACTTTCTTTGTCTTTGAAGACATTTCGCTTCTCATCCAAGAAGTTTCTTCATGTCTGAAGAATTGAAGTTTCCAGGATGAGAAGCAAACGATCTTCAAGGAAAAACAAAGTCTAGTTGCCTCTTGGGACAGCCATGACCTGAATGACTGAGAATCTCCGTAGATATTTTTTTTTTACTTGCAGACATTTCATTACCAAACTAGGTAACGTGATCAGTGCACGATGTTACTGATGATGTTATCTAGTTGGGTAATGAAATGTCTTAGAGAAACCAAGCTCAGAGAACGCCAAGGACTCCACAGGGCGCGATGCTTCCTCCCCTGCCTTTTATCTTCCTAATAATCCCGTGAGACATATTTGGGGCGGGGGAAATCACAAGTGTGAGGTTACATTATCATCACAGGGAGACTGGAACCAAGTCCTCTGTCCATGTCCAATCTAGCTAGTAACATACATTCAAATACATTCTAGCTGACTTCTGTGGTGGGAACCCAGTATCTTATGAACATTGCATAACGCAAACCATTCCTTACTCCAGTGTGACCCAGAAGCCTGTTACATTCACCTCTTCTTGAATATAAATAACTCAATGTACACTGTTGCAATGACTTGATTAAAACATCCCAACCGTATCTAGCTGACTTAGCTCCTTGGCACCCGAATTGTCATTTTCATATGCTAGAGACTCAGATTCAGACCGTGTAAACCTCTGCAAATCCTCTTGTCTAGCTCAAGAGCGTCTCCTTTGAAGGACTCCGTTTCCAGCTCAAATACGATGAAGTTCTTTTGGCGCTCAGTGGTCTTCTCCCTCGCCATCTCCTTGGCATGGTGTGGCATCAAGGACCTTCACGAGCACTTCGAACAAGTGGGCTGGGAGGCCCAATCCCTCCATCCTCGTAGCCTTCTCAGGAACGAAAGCCTTCAGGTGACCAACCTCTCCCCCGAATTCCATCAAGAAAACACGGTGACCCACGACTTGAGCGTGGAAGAAGAAGAGGAGGAGGACTACCTGGACTTTGACAAACTCTTCAGAGAAGATGACGACGACTACATTGATATAATTGACAGCATTCCGGATACCATCTCTCACGTCGAGCAAGGAAACGTGCTGGCGCTCTTCCGTGGGAAGACCAGAATCCAACGACTCAACATCCTCAACGCCTACTTTGGCTTCAACCTTTACCGAAGCCTTCGGGACCACGTCAACTCTTCCGACAATATCTTCTTGGCTCCGGTTGGCATCTCCACCGCCATGGCGATGGTTTCCTTGGGACTAAGAGGTCAAACCCTGGAGGAGGTCTTGGACGTTCTAGGTTTTGAAGACTTTGTGAATTCCAGTTCCACCTATGACTACTTGACTTTTCACAACCTCTTCCTCAAACTCACTCACCGGCTCTTCCGGAGAAATTTTGGCTACACCCTCCGGTCAGTCAATGACCTCTACATCCAAAGGCAATTCTCCATCCTGAACGAGTTCAAGGACAATATGAAAAAGTACTATTTTGCCGAGCCTCAGCTGGCTGACTTTTCTGACCCGGCCTTCATCACTCAAGCGAACGAGCGGATTGTAAAGCTCACCAAAGGCTTAATCAAAGACGCTCTCGTTAACGTGCACCCTGACACGCTCATGATGATTCTCAATTGTTTGTACTTCAAAGGTAAAGCAAGAGATATCAGGCTGGTTTTATATATATAAGGAACGGTTGCTAGAATTGGGTATGTCTAGTTTAATGAAGAGAAGGACAAGGGGGGACATGATAGCAGTGTTCCAATATCTCAGGGGCTGCCATAAAGAAGAGGGAATTAAGCTATTCTCCAAAGCATCTGAAGGCAGAACAAGAAGCAACGGGTGGAAACTAATCAAGGAGAGAAGCAACCTAGAACTAAGGAGAAACTTCCTGACAGTTAGAACAATTAATCAGTGGAACAGCTTGCCTCCAGAAGCAGTAAATGCTCCAACACTGGAAGTTTTTAAGAAGAGACTGGACAGCCATTTGTCCGAAATGGTGTAGGGTTTCCTGCCCGAGCAGGGGGTTGGACTAGATGACCTCCAAGGTCCCTTCCAACTTTACTATTATTATTATTATTATTATATATACATATTGAACATAAAATAATAATAGGAGTGGGAGGGACCCTGGAGGTCTTCTATTTCAGCCCCCTACCCCTGGCAGGAGATCCTATAGCATTCCAGACTTTCTTTGGGCTTGATGGGACGGGTACATTTGTTCACAGAAAGAATAACATAGAAAGAATACCCCTTCCTGTATCTTATTAAGAGCCCCAAATTTGGGTTGCTCAATGAAACATTGGGTAAATGAATTTTGCCCCATTTTACAACCCTCTGTGCCACCTTTAAGTCAATCACTGCAGATGTTAAGTTAGTAACACGGTTGGTAAGTGAGCGTGGCTTCTCCCATTGACTTTGTTTGTCAGAAGGTTGCAAAAAAAGGGGATCACGTGACCCTGGGACGCTACAACCATCAGAAAAAGGTGGGTCAGTTTTTCGGAGACCGAATTTTGATCCTGTGACCATGGGGATCATGCAAAAGTTGTAAGGGTGCAAAAGAGTCCTTAAGTCACTTTTTTCAGTTGTTAACTTTGTATGGTCACTAAATGGGCTGTTGTAAATCAAGGGCGACCTGTACAGCGGACGTTTCTCTGATTGCTAACCTCCCTTAAAAATTAGGTAGTCCTCGACTTATGACAGTTTGTTTAGTGACTGTTCGAAGTTACGGTGGCACTAAGAAGTGACTTATGATCGTTTTTCGCACTTGTGACCGTTGCAGCACCCCCTCTGGTCACGTGATCAAAATTCAGAGGATGGCTGCTGCGCTCCTGGGCTCACATGATCCCCTTTTGCGACCTTTTGACAATGGGGAAGCCCGATTCATTTTACAACCGTGTCACTACCCGAACAACTGCAGGGATTCTCTTAACAATGACGGCAAAAAAGGTCATAAAGCGGGGCCAAATTCACGTAACAAGGGTTTTCACTTAGCAACAGAAATGTTGGGCTCAACTGCGGCCGTTAAGCCGAGGACTACTCGTAGAAGGAAGCGATGCAGCTAAAGACGATCGGCCCCGGGAAAAGAATTACGGCCTGGTGTTTTCGTTTGTGTTCCCAGGAACCTGGGAAAACAAGTTTCCGGTAGAGATGACCCACAAGCAGACCTTCCGGCTGAACGAGAAGGAGACGGTCAAAGTCCCGATGATGAAGATCAAAGCCAGCTTCCTGGCCACGGAAGACAACGAGCTGGACTGCAGGGTGTTGCAACTACCCTACGTGGGTAATATCAGCATGTTGATTGCGCTTCCCTACAAGCTGGCGGGTCTGAAGGCTCTGGAGAACCAGCTGAGCCCCCAGGTGGTGGAGAGATGGCAGAAGAGCATGACCAACAGGTATCCTATCACTGACGGAAACCCACCACTCTCTGATTCCGATCTAAAATGATTATTACGGTCTGGGGGTTAAGGTACCACCAGCCTAAAAAGCAAGACGCTGTGAGTTCTAGTTCCGTCTTAGGCGTTGAAAGCCAGCTGGATGACTTTGGGCCAATCAACAGGAGACTGGGAGTTTTAGTCCTGCCTTAGGCATGAAAGCCAACTGGGTGACTTTGGGCCAATCACCAAGAGATTGGGAGTTTTAGTCCCACCTTAGGCGTGAAACCCAGCTGGGGGACTTTGGGCCAATCACCAGGAGATGGTGAATTCTAGTCCTGGCTTAAGCATGAAAGCCAACTGGGGACTTTGGGGCCAATCAGCAGGAGACAGTGAGTTCTAGTCCTGCCTTAGGCACAAAGCCAGCTGGGGGACATCGAGTCAATCACCAGGAGACGGTGAGTTCTAGTCCCAGCTTAAGCATGAAAGCCAACTGGGGGACTTTTGGGCCAATCACCTGGAGATTGTGAGTTCTAGTCCCACCTTAGGCACGAAAGTCAATTGAGTCCCGTTTTTCAGTGCCATTGTGTTAACTTCTGGCTGTAGTTGGCCTTGAAGTGGAGCCACGGTGGGTTGCACGCTAGCAACGAATCGGCGGGAGCCAAACAAACGATCCTTAAAAGATTTAATAAGCGCTGCAGATGACTTGCGTCCGTTCAGGTTTCACTCCTAATTCTCTCGCCAGAACCCGAGAAGTGCTGATGCCCAGATTTAAGCTGGAGAAGAACTACGACTTGATTGAAAATCTGAAAGCGATGGGGATCGAGGAGCTGTTCACCCAGCGCGGCAACTACTCCGGGATCTCGGAGGAAAGGATCACCATCAATAAGGTAACTCAGCGTTGGTGCAAATTAAAACTCCACAGAAATTTGTTTTTAACTTTGCGTAAAAGACGGAGGAGAATTATTCTGTTTGGGCTAGTTTAGGGTTAGGAGCCGTGGCCAGAAGGAGGCTAACGGAAACGCTACCTAATTTTTGGGATGGATAGGTCAGGAAAAAAAGGAGCGAAGCGGAGAGCGAAAGGTGGGCACAGAGAAAAGGGGAGAGGACCGTTAAGAGAGAGAAAAGACGGGCAGGAAAAAGCAGATTTAATTATAAGCCGCTTTAGCAAATGACTGGCCACTTCAGTGTTCAGGTACGTGGCTGAGCTGCAGCACCCCAGATATAAGGTTTTTTTTTTTTTTAATTTTCCTACTTATTTGGTGTTTAGGCCAGTTTTATTCTTTTATAAATGCCCCAAAGCAGCCTCCCCCTTTTCCCCACAATGACACCCCCCCCCCGTAAGGTGGGTTGAGATGAGAGAGGGAGGGACTGGCCCAAAGTCACTTAGCTGGCTTTCATGCCTAAGTGGGGACTAGAACTCCCAGTCTCCTGGTGATTGGCCCAAAGTCGCCCAGTCGGCTTTGGTAGCTAAGGCAGGACTAGAACTCCCAGTCTCCTGGTAATTGGTCCAAAGTTACCCAGCCGACTTTCCTGTGTAAGGTGGGACTAGAACTCCCAATCTCCTGGTAATTGGCCCAAAGTCACCCAGCTGACTTTCATGTGTAAGGTGGGACTAGAACTCCCAGTCTCCTGGTAATTGGCCCAAAGTCACCCGGCTGACTTTCATGTGTAAGGTGGGACTAGAACTCCCAGTCTCCTGGTGACTGGCTGAGAGCCGCCCAGTCAGCGTTGGTACCTGAGGCGGGATGAGAACTCAAGAGTCTGCTTAACGCTTGCTGGGGTTTCACGCCCATGGCTGGACCAGAACTCCCAGTCTCCTGGTTTCCAGCTCAGCCACCTTCCCCACCTTATCGAGCTTCTTCTGTGCTGCTTCTGAGTGTTAATCTTCCGTTTCGACAGTTCAATCATCAAGGGACGATTACGGTGAACGAAGAAGGGACCGAGGCTGCCTCCGTGACCACCGTGGGCTTTATGCCACTCTCAGCTCAGATCCGTTTCGTCATTGATCACCCCTTCCTCTTCCTGATCTACGAACATCGTACCAGCTGCCTGCTCTTCATGGGGAGAGTTTCTGACCCCAGCAAGCATTAAGCGGTAGAATCACAACCGTGGGACAACTGCATGTAGACAACTCGGATTTAACTTACACTATTACTGGTTTTTATAGGCAGAGGTAGGCGAGCCACAAGTGCTAGTAGCACAGCTTCCCCCCCTTCCCCTCTCCGCCCCCCCGAAGCTGCCACAGGTAGTCCTCGACTTACGAGCACAAGGGAGCACAACGTTTCTGTGGCTAAATGAGACATTTGTTAAGTGAGCTTTGCCCCGTTTTACGACTCTTCTTGCCACGTCAGTTAACTGAATTGCTGCATTTGTTACATTAGTCAGACAGTGGCTCAGTGCAAAAGCAGGTGTCACATGACCCCCAGGAACGCCGCTGCAATCGTCATAAATATGAATCAGTTGCCAAGCCTCTGAATTTTGATCAGCTGACCACGGGGGTGCTGCAACAGTCGTCTAAGTGTGAAAAACGGTCATAAGCCGCTTTTTTCCGTGCTGTCGTAACTTTGAACGGTCACTAAACGAACTGTTGTAAGTCGAGGATTACCTTTATCTTCCAAATGTGAGAAGGAAGGAAGGAAGGAAGGAAGGAAGGAAGGAAGGAAGGAAGGAAGGAAGGAAGGAAGGAAGGAAGGATCAAGAAAAAGAACAGAGGGAAAGTGGGAGGAAGGGAAGGAAGGAAGGAAGGAAGGAAGGAAGGAAGGAAGGAAGGAAGGAAGGAAGGAAGGAAGGAAGGAAGGAAGGAAGGAAGGAAAGAAGGAAGGAAGGGGGAGGAAAGGAAGGAAGGATGGAAGGAAGGAAGGAAGGGAAAGGAATAGAATAAAATAGAGCTGGAAGGGACCTTGGAGATCTTCTAGTCCAACCCCCTGAGGACCTATACCACCACCACCACCTCCTCCTCCTCCTCCTCCTCCTCATTCTCATTCAAGTTTCAAAAGCTGGCTTCTGAGTCTTTTTAGGAGCACTCGCGATAAAACTCGCTCTATCTCAATGAATATCACTGTGATTATAATGTTCATTTATATTTAATAAAAAATGTGAAACATTTGTTATTAGGCACGACCAAGAAGAGGTCTTGATTATTATTATTTTTTAAATTCGGGCTTGTGTCAATGTTGGGCAATTCTGCCGTGGTGACCACTTGCAGTAGCTACAGAAAATAATGCTGAAAAGGCAGATCCAAGGTGGTTCTTAGGTTAATATGCAAAAAGCATTGCCCTTTATTACTTATTCTGTGCATCTTGTGGAGACCTCGGTGTTCCCCGGGCTTGGGGGCTTGTTTGCAGACATTTGACAACCTGACTAGCTAACATCATCAGTACAAGAAGAAAGTGGGGTTGGTGGAGTGGAGGAGGAGGAAGACTAGGACAACTATAAGAGCCTTGGTTTCTCTCTGCGCTTGGTTGTTTTCTTGCAGATGTTACATTACCAGATTACCATTACTGGCTAACATCATCAGTGCTAGAAGGGTGTGGAGTCTGCTACTGATGACGTTGCCTAGTTTGGTAATGAAACGTCTGCAACAAAACAGCCAAGAATTTCAATCCTGAGCTACATATACTCCTCCCTCAAAATCTAAATGATGAAAAAAAATCTACCATTAGCCATCCTGCATACTTAGCATGCAATTGTCCTGTAATGTTATTTCCCCCAATCCTCAAATCCCTCCCTTTTTATAATGCTTACAAGTGCTCCATGGCTGTTAAGACTAATGTCTAGTTTAGCGAAGAGAAGGACGAGGGGGGACACGATAGCAGTGTTCCAATATCTCAGGAGCTGCCCCAAAGAAGAGGGAGTCAAGCTATTCTCCAAAGCCCCTGAAGGCAAGACAAGAAGCAACAGATGGAAACTAACCAAAGAGAGAAGCAACCTGAAACTAAGGAGAAACTTCCTGACAGCTAGAACAATTAACCAGTGGAACAACCTGCCTCCAGAAACGGTGAATGCTCCAACACTGGAAGTTTTTAAGAAGAGACTGGACGGCCATTTGTCCGAAATGGTATAGGGTTTCCTGCCTGAGCAGGGAGTTGGACTCAATGACCTCCAAGGTCCCTTCCAACTTTATTATTATTATTATTAAAGATGCTCCTTGGCAGTTCAACTGTCTGCAGAGATATTCTTGTCTATCAAATTGTCCTTTTAACCAGCCGTTAAGCCTTACCATCAAGTTTTAAAAAGTGGAGGGGAAGAAAAAGAAAGAGGCAATTGCAACCGAGAACTCACGAGTATCATAAATTTTGCAAGGAAGGTAAACATTTGCTTTATAGAGCCTCCTAATGTAACCATTAACCTCTGTCAACACTCAGGACTATATTTACTGAGTGACAAGCAGTTGGAAAAAAATAAATAAATAAAAGTCAGATTAGACCTTGTCTGATCAAACACCAAAATGACTTTGAAATACAGGTAGTTCTCCTATTCCTATTCCTATTCTATTCTTCATCCTTCCTATTCTATTCTATTCTATTCTATTCTATTCTATTCTATTCTATTCTATTCTATTCTATTCTATTCTATTCTATTCTATTCTATTCCATTCCATTCCATTCCATTCCATTCCATTCCATTCCATTCCTTGTTATTGTTGTTAATTGCGAAGTCGTGTCCGACCCATCGTGACCCCATGGACAACGTTCCTCCAGGTCTTCCTGTCCTCTACCATCTTCTGGAGTCCATTTAAGTTCACACCTCCTGCTTCAGTGATTCCATCCAGCCACCTCCTTCTCTGTCATCCCCTTCTTCTATTCTATTCTATTCTATTCTATTCTATTCTATTCTATTCTATTCTATTCTATTCTATTCTATTCTATTCTATTCTATTCCTTATTCTATCCTATCCTATCCTATCCTATTATTCTATTCTATTCTATTCTATTCTATTCTATTCCTTATTCTATCCTATCCTATCCTATTATTCTATTCTATTCTATTCCATTCCATTCTTCTATTCTATTCTATTCTATTCTATTCTATTCTATTCTATTCTATTCTATTCTATTCTATTCTATTCCTTATTCTATCCTATCCTATCCTATTATTCTATTCTATTCTATTCTATTCTATTCTATTCCCAGATTTTTTTTTTTACAATGCTTCTTGTTCAGCTTAAAACCACCCACCGTCTCAGTACAAGAAACCAACACTCACCACAGCAATAACAGGGATCAGCACTCCGAGATTGCCGGCACTGCTGGAGGCCTGTGAAAGATAACAGAGACCAATTGAGAGCAGGAAACTACCAGAGGACAAGGCAGCCACCATTCTCCAAACGGGCTCTTTTTTTAATTTTTTTTCATTCAACTGTTTCCATTGAAATTTTAATAGCTGTTTTTAATGATTTGAAATATTTGGGGCTTTTTGTTTCTTGATTCCATGTGCTGCCTAGAGACGGGCGGCTATACCTATATAATGATAGGTCGATACGAATATAAAAATAATCCATAATTCATAGAACTTATAATCAATTGGGAGAGACTTTCATTCTGAAGGTTGGGAAGCAGCGTTATCCCTTCCTCTCCTACCTTCAGCGCCGGCCCTTTTTCGCTGGCCCGCTCGCTGGCCCTTTTGCCTTCCAGTCCCAGCTGCACAAAAAGTTCCAACAAGTTCATCAGCACCTCATCCACAAGGTGTTCGTCCTGTATATTTGCAGCTATGTTAGCCAGGGCATTAATAACAGCTAAGGAACAGTGTCTGATGAGAAGGCAGAAGGAAGGGGGGGGGGAGAAAGGAGGGGGAAAAAAGAAGAAGAAAAAGAAGGAGAGAAAACGGGAAAGCATCAGCTTTCTGACAAAACATTTTATCTCGTTTTCTTGGGTTCAAAATTGGGCAAGGTTAGGAAAAGGACTTTCAAACTCCTCTGAAAAGCCTCGAAAAACAGGCGAGATGGGTGGCATAGAAATTTAATAACGAAATACAGGTAAAAGGGTTTCTTCTGTCCAGTTGTGTCCGGTTAGGAGGCAGTGCTCGTCTCTGTTTCTTAGCCAAAGGAGCCAGCGTTGTCCGAAGACATTTTCCGTGGTCGTGCAGCCAGCACAGGTATATGCCAAAGGTGCGTGGAACGCTGTTCCCTTCCCGCTTCCCGTTGAAGTGGTACCTATTGATCTATTCGCATTCGCATGCTTTCAAACTGCTAGATGGACAGGAGCTGGAGCTAGTGACGGGAGCTCATCCCGTCGCATGGTGCTCAGATCTCGAACTTGGGCTGTCAGCTTTCTGGCTGACAAGCTCAGCGCCTTTAACCACTGAGCCATCGCACCCGTAAATAAATAAAATAGAATAAATCCAGGTGGCATCAGATCTGATTTAAAAAAAACAACAACTGGGTAGTCATTTTTACTGTTGTGTGAAGCATCAGTTTCCAGATTAAAAAAAAAAATGAAACGGGCAAAAGTCTACAAAGGTTCACCTCAACCCGTAATTTTAAAAAAAACGTACTGCAATAGCGCAGCAAAAAAAATCGAAGTTACCTGTATCCATGATCTTTATAGTCTTTAGTGGCAGAGTATACAATGGAGCTTGCTTTCACGCTGATCTGCTGAAACAAATTCCACACCTCCTGGTAAATATATTGCTGGAAATAAGAAAATAGAAGCTAAATTAGCCGGGGGGGGGGGAACTTGGGAACAAACAATCAAAACAAATCAAAGCATTAACCTTGACATTATGCTGTGATGGCACCCCATCACTGGAGACCTTTAAGAAGAGACTAAACGTTCACCTGTCTGAGATGGTATAGGTTCTCCTGCTTGTGCAGGGGGCTGGACTAGAAGACCTCCAAGGTCCCTTCCAGCTCTATTCTATTCTATTCTATTCTGTTCTGTTCTATTCTATTATTCTATTCTATTCTATTCTGTTATTCTATTCTATTCTATTATTCTATTCTATTATATTCTCTATTCTATTCTGTTCTTCTATTCTATTCTATTCTATTCTATTCTATTCTTCTATTCTATTCTATTCTATTCTATTCTATTCTATTCTATTCTATTCTATTCTATTCCTTATTCTATTCTGTTCTTCTATTCTATTCTATTCTATTCTATTCTATTCTATTCTATTCTATTCCTCATTCTATTCTATTCTATCCTATCCTATCCTATTCATGGACAATAAATCTTTAACATGATCTCTTAAAAGATGTCTAGAAGCTTGTGGCCTCTTTTAATGGCCCCTCCAGGTTCTGTTACTCCTTTTCCTATCCCTTTCTTCCTGGGACTCCTGACTATATTCCAACTACAAACACCACGCAAAGATAAATGAAGCAACTACCATTGCAATAAGGAGCTGATCAGCCTTCAACGGACACTGACAATCAACCGCCCGGAAGGACCGTTGGAATTGACAGCTTCCCAGGCAATTTGCACACCCTTACATTTCCGGTGATAACTAAACAGCCCAGCTGGTCGATGATGAGCACGTCAAGAGGAGACGGCGGCTGGCAGAACTTCTGCTGCAAAATCTGGAGAATGGGTTCCATCAC